CAAAATAGGAAGTAGCAACATTAAGAAAACAGGAGTTTCAGGTAAAGAATAGAGAAAGCAGGATACACATTAAAATACTAAAATATTTTCATAATGGAAGAATACAATTTTTTTTCATTAAAGGCCCACTGGGTGTCAGCATAGTGAACGAACTTGACACACACAGGTTGGTCTGTCTCTAAATCACTGAGATTCCAGAATAACAGAGCATAGCATAAAATCCTTTGGAAAGACAAGAAATGTGATTTATTTTAAAATGACAAAAAATAAAAATGTTGAACAACTTTTACAGCAGTGGTAGAACTTGAGGACAAGAGAAAAAAAAATGTCTTCCAAATTCTTAGAATTTTGTAAAGCCAGGAGGAAAAACAGTTTTATGACAAGAAGAAAGAAATATCACCCAGATAATAGAAATAGAGGATTATTGATGTGGCTATGTTGTTCTTTCACTTGATTGTTCTGAAAGAAGATTTAAAAAATTAGGGAATTCTTGGAACTGATTTAGTGGCATATCCTTTAAAAAAAATAGGCAAATTGACAGGGATAAGAAAAAATATATGCATTTACATATACATCATATGACTCTGCTCATTTCAAAGATCTTTGTACAACTCTAAAACAATTGAACTGTGATAAGCAAAGATATTTCAATGCACGATGTTAGAATGAGGGTACCCTCAGAGCTTGAGTGAAGAAAGTTGTGGAAGATGAGCATAGAGTATGGTGAAAAGTTCACTGCAACTTCTTACGTTTAAGAAATTAGCATATGAAATGATATATTATTAAAATGAGTGCAAAGATATGTCCCAAAGTACCTACAAGATTGTAAAATGGCTGTGATAAACAGAAAATGTTTAGCAGGAACTAATGCCTTTTGTAATTATCCTTAAATAAGTTTTCATCATAAATAGAAAGCTTAATGTTTTCATGCCTTATGTCGTGTAAGGAACTATTTCTGTGGCCCTGTGGAAACCATTGGTTTTGCTCATGTATGTTATTTTTAGCACCCAAGTTTACAAAGGAGTAACTTGCTCTTGAAGTCTACAACCACTACCACTAGGTGGAGGTAATGAGTTACATCTTACAACATCCTTGTATCTGTGTGATGATGTCATAGGCTGCTTCATTTGGTCATGCCCTAGGTCAAAATGTTTTCAATTACTTGGAAGAGCCTGTGGAAGGATGTCATGTATGTCTAATACTTAATGAATCACAGACAGAATCAATACTGAATGTAAAAGTGTAATTATGGTAACAAGTAGTATGAAATCTTAAGTAAATAAAAAACATTCTGCGGGAAGGGAAGATGGGAAACAGGAAATCACTGAGTAGGAATAAAGATACAAGGAGACTTATGTAAGACTCATGGACACTCACGTTCCATTTAAGACTCATTTTATCCTTTGAAAAATTTCATCTTTAAACCAGATCTTTAAATATCTGCCTGCTGAAAAAAATCTCTGATTTTTATACAAATAAATGTTTTAAACATTTTAATATCCAAATATATATTTTTTCTGATTGTAAAAGATACAACCTGGATCAATTAGGTAGCAGATAACACTAATTCCATGATCAACAAATAACAATTTTAATACTTTGGTGTACGTAATTCATGTTAGCCTAATTTCTAGTCCTATACAAGGACAGGGATATGGTTTTCTTTTGTTTTAAAGTAAACATCATTTTGTAATTCCCCAAATTTCTCCTTACACATTGTGACACAGGCATTTTCCTGTTCCCACTGCAGCCATGACAATGACATTTGATCACCTAGTACAGCAGCTACTTGACCACTTCTGCTCTGGCCATCCCCAGCTTCATGCTTGTTTCCAGATGATTTACTCCTCCTTCTTCCCTTGATTTGGAATTACGTTTTTCTCTTCAATACTCTTAGGATAAAATACAACATAAAATACAACATTTGCGGGCACACACAGACACACACACACACACACAGACACACACACACATACACACACATCCTCCCACTTCTGGAGAGAATGATTGTTTTCTTGGTGTCTGCAAACATGTGAATCCTAAGGGCAGTGTGTCTTAGTGTTGACTTTTAAGTGATTTATTCTAGCTAGAGTTAAACTATTGGTCCTAGGTTGAACTATTGTCTGAACAAAATACTAAAGATTACGTTCTATACAATGTCATCTTTTTTCCTCATTTCTGTGTCAGTATTTGGCTCAATTAGTGGCTCATCTCAGCTTTTCTAAAAAGCTACATTTTTTTTCACTCTCACTGTTTTTTACTGCTGATCATGGTTTTCACTCCTTGCTTGAATCAGCCCAGCAGTTACAGGTTTTGAACAAGAATTACAATAAATCTAGTTGTAGGGAGCTAGTGTTTGCTGCTAGATAAAAACTGTGCATCTCCTATTCCACCTGAAAAACATCCACCCTCTTCACCTTTAAGAGGTATTACAATTTTATGTGGAATTAAAATGTATCCTAAATTGTAATGCCTGTCTAAATGATCTATATTTGCATAAACATCTATTTTTAGGCAGTATTATTAATGTTTGTTTTAAAGGTCTTTGTACAGAAAAAAATGTGTGGTAAAAAGTCCATAAGGAATTAATTATTTTCTGTTCTGAATATTTTATTTTAAATCTGCCACTACAATTTAAGCATTGTTTTTATGTATAAGCAAGTGTTGGCAGCTAAGGTTTTATATTAAATCCATTTTTTTCTTTGTATTTTTGAAAGTTTTAATGTCAGTGAGAGATTATATGCACATTGTATTTCAAAATACCCATTCTTATCAATTCAATCATACATAAGCCCTAAGTTTCAGTTGTCACTTAGTGTTGTTCATAAGAATATTTAAGTATATTTTTCTACTTTATTTACATATAATTTTTGCAAGTTCTCAGTGGAAATTTGTATCATACTGAAAATGTAAATCATTTCCACATAGAAAATAATATAAAGATAAACGGAGACACTTGTAAATTTACTTCTTCTGAGTGAAGAGTTGATACCTCTGGGGACTGACCTTTAAGTGAATTAACAAGTGAAAGGTAAATTACTATTCCAGAGCAGCTGACCTGGTCATGCTAAATGCCATTTCCACATCCATCCAGACTTTTAGGGTGTATGATAATGTTTTCCTTGTCAGGATTTCACACACACACACACACACACACACACACAAAACCCACATCTTATTATGCCAGTATCACACACAGCACACCTATCTGATCAGAACAAGAAATGCTTTGTTCTTCCTCCACAAATGACCCTTGCATACTGTTGGTAGGAATGTAAAATGGTATAACAATTATATAAAACAGTAAAAGTTTCTTCATAACATTAAAAATCCAGTGTGGTGGCTAACTAGCTGTTTAGGAAGATAAGATTTGGAGAATCTGCTGGCTCAGAACAAAAAAGTCTAAGACATTCCCTCTCCAAAATTACTAGCAAAAATTAGGGTTGAAGGCTTGGCTCACATGGTACAGTGGTAGCCTAGCAAAGATGAGTCCCGAGTTCAAACCCCAGTATCAAGTAATTTATATATACATATATAAATTTATACAGAAAATGTATATTCTATAATACATTGTTATATATAACATTTTACATAGAGTATATATAGTTACATAAATACATAAATTATATACCACAGTATGCAATATATATGCCAGAGTGTGTATATCTATACACACTACATATACATACACATATATCTACAATTGAGTAACACCACTTTCGTGTATAGAGCCAAAAGAAGTCAAGTCAGTATTGCAAAGGAATAGCTGTGTCTCCATGTGCATTACAGCGCTAGACACACTACCCAAAATACTGAAAACCCTTTTATTGATGTATGAGTGGATAAGGAAAATATAATTTAGATTACTGTGGTTACTGCTGATGGATCATCCCATTCTAATTTTGACTATTTCAAACCTCTCTTTTGTGCTGCAGTCTCTTTAACAAATCCAAACATATTCAAGTGCCTAGGAACACCAAAGGACAAGTAATAACAAGTTCTCTTTCTTAAACACATTTGGATTCGTTTTGTGTGTGTGTGTGTGTGTGTGTGTGTGTGTGTGTGTGTGTGTGTGTGTGTGTGTGTGTGTGTGTTGGTCTTGAGTGCTGTCCTTGAGCTTTTCTGCTTAAGCTATATCACTCTAGCCTGGAGCCACAGTGCCAAGTACAGCTTTTGAGTGGCTAATGGGAGATAAGAATCTCCAAGGAATGAGCCACCAGCTCCAGGCTTCTTCGGGTACTTCTAATCCTGCAGTAAGTAGGACAGGTTTAAAGACCCACGAAATTGATATAAGCAATCCCAAAATAATTTATAGATTAGCCTACACCACTGAGCATGCTGACTTGAACTAAGTTACAGCAGTGGAGATGGAGAAAACTGAACAGAGCCTGGGCATGTAAAACCACATGTGCATGTAGATGAATGTAGTGAGGTCTGGCAGAGAATGATTTAAGGAGTCTCCCTATTTCATGTTATTATCTGGAAATTTCTTTTGGTGTGAATAGAGGACAAATGCTTCCAAAGACTAAGTGTAGTGTTGATGTCTTAGTGTTTACAAAATGGAGTTGGAAGCATTCGATCTCTAGAGACGTATTCTCTGAGGATCAGTCATTAAAGGATGAAGACAGAAAAACCCCTCAAAAGATGCCAAGGAATTTACTGACCATGTACCACCACCATCAGCAGGAAAATAGTGAAAAGTGTTGGACATCATGGTGAGAAGGGAAGACAGGTGAGCTGGGTCAGAGGCAAGAGAGATTAGGCAATAGTAAAATTATGTTTGAGAACTATTTCAATGATTTCATTTTGAATATTTTTATTATTATCTTTTTATGAAATGTAAGATAAATGTTATTAGTTTGCCTGTGTTATCATACCAAAACATTATTTATTGCCAAAACATTATCAAATAGATAGAGCAGAGGCACATGAGAAATATGACTACTGCTTATTATGACCATACGTGGTGCTGCCTCAGAGTTTATGTTCTTCTTGAACAGAATGCAGTCACAGGAACAAAATATCGGTCGAAGAAGGACCACATGATGTGCAAACTGATGTGTTTGTCTATTGCCTATTCTTCTACTATTGGTGGGCTGACAACAATCACTGGGACCTCTACCAACTTGATCTTCACTGAGCATTTCAACACGTAAGTAAAGAATCGCTGGGTTGGTGCCATTACAAACATAAGTTACATAGATGATTTGTTCCTGATTTAGAGAATCCCAAAACAGAAATGTTATACAAGATTCACTTGCTATTGTTTTCTATCAAGACATCTGTAAGGTTTCTATAGAGATCTTCTTTAGTAGTGAGACTAAAGTTTGCTGCATCTACCTAGGGAATGAACACAAGTCTGTAGACATTCCTAGTCAGATAAGAAGAAATGATTCTTTATTAACCATTTTAATAAGAAAGAAAAAATACTATTATGGTAGTTAGCTGAAGTGAAGCTATATTCTTTGCGTGAAACAATTTATGTTACATTTGGAGACTAACATTTGACTTTGAATGATAAAAAGAGGTGCTAATTATGAAAGGCTTAGTTTTGGAGTTTTAAAAAAAAAAGTTGAAGGATTAGGCCCTTGCAAGAATAGTAGCAATAGAGTCTTCTACAGACATATGTTTGACACTAAGTATAAACTTAGAACTGTGATTCCAGCCTATTCCAGAAAGTGAGGAATCTGTGCACTCAGCCATTGGAAAAGTTTTAGCTTAGTTGAGTTTTAGTTGCTTATGTTGTAAGTTTGAACATCCTCCAGGAAAAGGCGTATCACTTCCCCAGGACTTCACTTTTCCAACTGTGGGAGCTCAGGCAGATGCTATAGGTCAGGTCTGTTTCAAGCTCTATGGGGGCATCTACTTGTCAGGGTGTTCACATGGTAGTTAGCACAGGGGGAAGATGAGGAACAGGAAGTAGCATTTTATACACAAGAATTCAGGCTCAGAAACAGATGCCACACGCCATGAAGCAGATCCCCAGATCAAGAACCTTCTAGAATTATTTGCAAAATGGTATGCATGCACACCAACTTCCCCCAAATCCAAAGATTCAATGTATGTAAATTCCTATTCTCTAAATACGTTAGATTTGTGATTGCACAGATCTCTACTTGAATGTACTATTTCTTTCAATGAATACTGACTGCAGTAACCACCTTAGAAAGGAACTTTAGAAAGACATTTGACTTGTAATTGGAAGACCTCTGAAATTCGGTGCCAGAAATTACATGTTCAACATATACTCTAATTAGAGACAAGAAATAAACCCTTTTCTGAAAACTAGACTGGTATCCTTGATTGGGATTCCACATCCTAAGCCTCTCTGAGGTCATTTCCTAACATCTACACCAAGTTCTTGTTCTATCCTTGTCAGTGTTAGAGAAATGCTGACTATACTGCCTCAACTGAATGACTTCATACACTTGAATCCATACTGTTTTTGCACAGTACATGACCAAGTGTGTGTGTGTGTGTGTGTGTGTGTGTGTGTGTGTGTGTGTGTGTGTGTGTGTGTCCACCCTGGGGATTGAACTCAGGGCCTAAGCACTGTCCCTGAGTTTTTTTTTTGCTTAAGGCTAGTACATCACCATCTTATGTCTCAGCTCCACTTCTGGTTTTCTGGTGGTTAATAAGAGATTATTGTCTCAGGATTTTCCTGCCCCAACTGGATTCAAACCAAACTGCGATCCTCAGATTTCAGCCTCCTAAGTAGCTGAGATTACAGGTATGAGCCTCCAGCTCCTGGCCTAACAAAATTCTTTTATTTAATTATTCTCTTGACTATTTGATGCATTTGTATACTAATTGCAGATAGAAAGCATTTGAGCATTAAAAAAAGTTACAATAATTAATTTCTGTCCAACTCCCCTAGTCATGGAAATTTAGCCAAAATTTCCTTTAAAATAGAAAACACTTAAAATTTACTTTGAAATATACAGTTTTTATTCTTAATAAATGTATTGCTCTTACATCTATGAATTACATAGAAATAATGATTTAGGAAGAAACTCAAAAGGATCTTTTAATTGAAAATATTGATATAGACATGGGAAAATCTATTTCAAAAACATTGATATTATTAAATAAGTGATACATTAAAACTTTTTCTTAAATGATGATCTTACAAAACGCAATATATCAAGGCAGCAGGCAGACACTCAGCACTCATTTTAATAAAAAATGTTACAGAGGTTTAGAACTGTCCAAAAAGTCATATCCTATTTTCAGATGTTTGGATCTGGAGAGATATTTCCCTTTACTTTAAAATTTACTAAGATAACATCATCTTTTTTTAAAAATAAACATCACTTGACATCTCTTTGAGCAATACCAATGATTTTATGTTTATAATTTCATATTGGATTACTCTCAATTAAAAGAGGCTTTATGAAATCTGAGCATCAATAACTTCATATTGATAAAGTACAGTACCATGTTATAAATCTACCCATGGAGGAAGAGACTGGGTTACACAACATTTTTCTAGCTGTACATCATCTACCTGTTTATCTCTTTATCCATCTACCATCTATCTTTTCATCCCTGTTCTTTTGTTCGTTAATAGATCGATAAAAACAGACAAATATGCCTTATGCGTAATATCTCTATACCACAATAAATGCATGTTTTGTTTTCTTTCTTATACAAAGAAAATGAGAAAAAACAAACCTTGAAAAAGCTAAAATTAATTCAGGGCAATAAACAGACTTCCAATGATTTGTTGGATCAATCCACATTCTTTGAGGAATGAAAATATGCAATGTACCACTTTAAATGTGCATGACAATGCATAAAAATAAAATCTTCAAGGAAGAAGATTCCATAAGATGGTATAGAAAAAAATATATACCTCTGAAAAACATTAAACATGTAAAACAAAATACTTTTTCTTTACATATGGCATGATATATACATATTACCAAAATATCCTTGCTGTAGAAAAGAGAAGATGGTGACTAAAGCCCTGTGCTCTGGGGTTAGAACATTTCAGTTAAAATCCCAGCTCCTCTATCCACCAGCTAGGTAACGGTACAAATTGCTTAAGCTCTCTAAACCTGATACCTTTCCAAAAATAGGAGAGAGATAATCTATGGTGTCTCTCTTAGAAGGCTGTGAGGTTCACCTAAAATAAGCAGCACTGAGAACAGCACTGACACAGAACCCATGCCTGGACTCAATAAATGCTAGCTGTTATCACTACCAGAGCTGAAAGAGCTGACATCTACTTCTAGTGAGGACCAAAACAAGGTCCACCAGACCCCAAAACTACCTCCATGAAAAAAATGTCCCTTCCTGGAACTATAACTGCAGCAATATCCTAAAAGAACTGTAGCTAAATGCAGTATGCTTGATTGTTAGAAAAATTTGTCTGCATGATCTACAGTGATCATAAAAGAAGCAAACATCATGTTCCTGGAAAAAAATGAGTGCAAATAATTCATAAAATCAATGTATGGAAAGTCAGTAACAGTTTTCTGGAGACAGACTGGAACAGTCGGCCTGCTTTACACAGTTTAGAATAGCATTGTGCAAGCACATTGATTGACATTCAGAGTCTGGATAGAGGAAAGCAATTAGAAGTCTATTACAAAGTGCAGACAAATGATGAAAGGCTATTGTGAAGTGAAGGGAAAATTTAGACCACAGACACTGTAGAACAAAAAGGTCATTAAGTAATTAAGTAAGAGTCCTAGGATAAGGACTGGTTAGGGCAACTCTAGGGATGTTTGTGCATGTATCTGGTAAGACAATTGTGCTCTATCTTCTGAAGAAGACATGACAAAACAGATTTACTTGAGAAATTGATAGCATTAAACAGGACATGTTCTACTGAGGGGTTTTTCCATAAAGAACATCTTCAAGAGGATTTTTTTTTCTGGTGGTGGGGCTTGAACTCTTGGCTTGGGCATTGTCCCTCAGCTCTTCAGCTCAAAGTGAGTGCTCTACCGCCTGAACCACAGCTCCACTCCTGGTTTTCTGGTGGTTTATTGGAGATTAAGAGTCTCACGGACTTTCCTGCACGGGCTGGCTTTGAACTACCATCCTCAGATCTCAGTCTCCTGAGTAGCTAGAATTACAGGCGTGAGCCACCAGCTCCAAACTTCAGCAGGATTTCAAGTGTATTGTTTGAGTCCCTTGTAGTGACCCACAATCTATAAGGGTAAAAATTAAATTCATGAGTGTAGGAATAGTGGTCACTTATGGAGATAACTTTAACATAATCCAAATATAGATAGGCTCTTAAGAAATATTTATTTTAAAAAAGGTAAGAAAATCCAATAAGATAGGAAGAGAGAATCAGAAGCTTACTGTGTTTGGAAAGCCAAAAGAGAACTCCCTTTCCAAAATGGAGGATGAGTCTTGAACACAGAAGATGGCAGAAGAGAGTTAAGTAGGAAGATGGCTAAGAAAAGGCTTTCGGTTCTCCTTGGTGTGCAAGAGGAGGGTAGATTTATAGAAATAACTGGCTGTGGGCACAAGTCAGACCAACAGGGTGAAGGAGCAAGTCCATAGGACGGATGAGAAGGAACGTTCAAATGACTGAAGTTTGACAGAGGGAAGAAGAAAGTGTGAACAGAGCCTTGGTAAACCCTCTGAACAGGAAACTCCGGAAACACTCTGCACCCTATCACTTCTTTTTGTCATCTTTTTTTTTGTACGTTTTTTATTGTAAAAATACTATACGGAGGGGTTACAGTTACATGAGCAAAGTAATGAGTACATTTCCTTCTTTTGTCGTCTTAATGGAAGTGTTTATTGGCCCTTCCACTAGAAAAGCCAAAACCAAAAAACTCCTTCCCTTGCTCTGTACTCTATCCTTCCCTTTTCTACCCCTCAGTAGGCAAACATATAATACCTTGACTGTTATTCCTGATGGGAACCTGATTCTATTGGTAGTAATCTAGTTGTTAGCATCAGGAGTAATAAGTGTTACTTTTATAAGTGTTAGTGAAGCACCACCCTGTCATTAAACTATTCCTTCTTGCTCTGGCTCATGCAAGACCAGTCAACTTGCAACATCTCTAACCATATGGCTACTATTCAACTTGAAAAATGTACTTTAAAGACAATTAGGACTTTCATAGTAAAGGAATTTCAATGCATCAATATCACCCAACAAATACAACAGCTACTAACTGAATACGT